GACTTCTCCATTAATTCACTGCTTTCCCCTCGTTTCATCTTTGCACTGGTGCATGAGGTGAATCTGTATCCCTGCTCCTACCTGCCCTGCCTGCTCTGTTTCTCTATTCTAATAGCAGCCCATTGATTCCCCAACCATAGCTGGAGCTGCTGCCTGATTGGCTGCTATTCTTAGACCTTTTTTATTTATTTATTTTTTTTTTTGAAGGAGGAGGCGGACACTGGAGTATCTCCCTGTTTCTGTTTACACACATAGTGAGCAGGCAGTAACAGTGTGAATGAGGAACAGGCAGGGAGAGGCATGTTGTGTGGCGCTCACATCCCCCTGCATTCCCTAAGCTGCGGCTCTATCCTTTTTTCTCATCATTTTCAATTAAATTTTTCTTTGAGTTGATCAGAGGAGAAGCAGCAAACTCTTTATTTTCTTTATTTTGACTCCTATGCGTACCTCTTTGTGCTGAGATGCCAGAAGTGAGTTGTTTTATCTGTGCGCTGTGGATATCCGCTCAGGTAAGCAGAGGCTGGCGCTGAACTTGGTTGCAGAAGTGAGACCTTAACCTGGGTTTAGTGTTACCTGTCTAGAGAAGGAGAAACACCTGGAGGATGAAACATGAGTGGGTTTTTCTCCTCACATGTCTCATCTAAGCATATTTGATCATATTTACCTCATTTCGTTGTGTTTATGTCTTATTTTTTCTTATCCGAGGCTTTGTTTCTTAAATGGTGAGCCTTCTGTCTGATTATTTGATTTGTTTTCAGTTCAAGAGGATGCTGAACCGAGAGCTCAGCCAGCTGTCAGAGACCAGCCGCTCAGGGAACCAGGTGTCCGAGTTCATCTCCAGCACCTTTCTGGGTAAAAAATGGCTCCTCTTTTTAACATCTCTCTAAGTAAATGAGGCTGTTATGAAAGTATTCATACGTCTTAAACCTTTTCAAATACAACCAACAAACTTTAACATATTTTTTCAGAGGTTTTATGTAAAACACTAAAAAAAGGATTGGAGAGGAAGGGATTATGCATTTGTATTCAGACCCTTTGGATCAGAACGCTGTGAAAACTAAATCATTCTTCTTTGCAAAATAGCCAAAGCTCCATCTCACTGGATGGAGGTGGTCTGTTAGCATCCTGGGCTTTGACTAGGACACTGTGGTTCATTGCAGTTTGGCTGTCTGTTTAGAGTTGTTTCCAGTTTGAAGGTAAACATTCATCCCAGTTTTGCCGTCTTTAAAAGTTCCCCAAGCATCCCGCAGCATGATACCTCCACCACCATGTGTTAGAGCTATAAAAATAATAATAATTAATCTGACCAGACCTTAGAATTGAATCACAAACAGATGTCCTCACATATGATTAACTTTTTTACACTTCTATGAAGCCCTGATTTGTAGAGTGTGTCTCTTTAAGTTTCCCAGACAGCAGAATCACGAAGCAGAGAAATTGATCTCCGAACATCGCTCAGTGAAAACTTTGGCTGCATTTTTGATTGATCCTCTCCTTAACTGACCTCTCCATTTAGGTGGACACCCATTTCCTGCTACAGCAGCCATTTATTATAGACCATCAGATTACACAGGACCTTTTAAATACACCAGAAGTTCCCAAACATTGCAGCAAAATGCAACAAACTGGCAACCCTCTAAACACACTTACATATTAACTTAATAACGTCACACTATACAGGTTAATTAAACAGGGGCATTTAATTATTTAATTTTGCATTTTACAATATATTTACTTAACCCTGTAATGCCAAATGTATCATATTTGATACATACGGTTTCTGAAATGTTTTTCGTCTGAAACCTTTTTCATAATTTAATGGTAAAAACTCAAAATCCTATTGTACACAATCAGATATTCCTGATAACAGCCAGTACAAG